TACATCTGCGTCCATCAGTTGCTGGATGAAGTTTCTATGATGACAATTAAGGTAGTCATCAATCTTTATTACAGGGGAAGTCCAGTTCAGATACCCCTCCACTATTGCTTAGGGTCTTAGCTGGGGTCATCCTTGTGGATTCGTGAGAATTTCCCTAGTCCTAGGTTTCTTGCTAGCCTCATAATGGCTCCTTCAATCAAGATATTTTTTTTTAATTTATTAAAGATTTCTGTCTCTTCCCCACCTCCGCCTCCCCTTTCCCTCCCCCAAGATATTTTTTTAAGGGTTTTTTTTTTCTTTTTTTGAGACAGGGTTTCTCTGTAGCTTTGGAGCCTGTCCTGGAACTAGCTCTTGTAGACCAGGCTGGCCTTGAACTCACAGAGATCCACCTGCCTCTGCCTCCCGAGTGCTGGGATTAAAGGCATGCACCACCACCTCCTGGCTCTTTTCAGGTTATTCTTAATAGTAAGACAGAATAAAGTGATACCGGTTGCTAGAAGCCATATTGGATGCTATCTCTCCCATCATCGATATCAAACTCATCGTCAGACCCTGGTGCTATCTCCAGAGCATGTTGGGCAAGTGCTTCTTCCTACTCCATGTTCCTCAATGTTTGTAGAAGCTGCTAGCCCAGACTTCTTGTTCTATCCCCATTAGTACGTGCTACCAGAGAACCAGAGACACCTGTGAAGAATATAAATTAGATCATGCCACTGCCCTGAGTAAAGCTGTTGATAATTTTCTGTCCTGATCCCCTTCCAGAACTTTGGGCTGGCCAGGTCCAGCCTCTTTCTGTGTCTCTACCATTACACACCACTGATGCCCCCTTTGGTTCTGGCCTTCTGTCTATTCTTTAGCTAGCTGGTTGGTTTGTTTTCCCTTCTCAGTGTCACTAGGGTCTCATTTCACAGTGTGACAGTTTGACTTACAGGTTTGTGTGTTCTTATTCATTTGTATACTGTTTTTTAAATTCTAAAAATTGACACATAATCAATTTGTGGGGTCCAGTTACTATCGTTGGCATCTCAGAATCTGTTTGCACTAGCATTCTTTCCTGGTCGTGGTTTGTTTTTCTGCTTCTTTACACATCCAGTACTTTTTAAAAAATACTACTCCCTGGAACTATATTATTCAAAAAGCTCAGTTTCTTATAATCAGACTACTCTCCAGGAGGTAGGAACAAGCTTATCAGCAATTACCTACTCACCTGTGGCTAAACAAAGCCTCTTCCTTCCTGAGAGAGGCTCTGTGCAGTGGAGGAGACCTTGCAGGTAACCCAGCCAAGACAGCTAGGACTCCTGGCTCAAAGACAAGTCATGTGGGGGACTCTTGGTGGGAAGTTAAGAGGGCCATCTGCCTTCCTTACCCCACAGCTTCTGTCTAACCCTGGGGAAAATATAAAACACCCAAGCCTGGTTCATACCTGTCACCTATATGGAGAAGTGCTGTAGAGCCTATCCCTTGATTGGCGGCAGCATGGGAGCTTGGCTCACCCAAACTATAGTGGAGTTTGTGGAGCAGAACCCCCCTATCAGTCCATATTGGCTACTCTGACACCACAGTGGAGTCCAGGATGAGATGGAGTGGGAGTACCACTCCCAGATACTTGATTTCTATGGCTGGGCAGTCTCCTGTGTACAGAAAGCCATAAAGAAGGTCTTGGCTACACAATTTGAGAGCACATGAAATGATGCAGATATTTCTGATGCCATAATGGCAGTGGTCCTGGCTGGTAGGCCTAACAAGCAGCCCTGTCCAGAGCCAGCTTTGTGCCCTTCAGATTCTCCAGAAGCCTGTTGACCTTTTCAAAGCTTGTCTGAAGCTCACCTGCAGAGTAGAAGCAGTTGTGCCCACTCCGGAGGGAACCTCATGGCCTGTTGATCCCTTTCCTGAGCATGCTTGCTGCAGAAGCCTTGCCTGCCTGCTGATTTCCGGGCTTTACTCCTCAGGACTGTATTCAACCCTAGGCCTAGGTGGCAAGGGAGGGCCTCCAGGTGTGACTTGGGCTTCTCTGGCAGGCCCCTCCTACTGCTGTCTGCCAGTTCTCCTCCCTTCTGGCTTTGTTGATCCCACCCTGCCCAGCCAGCTCTTCACCACTTTGAAAAAGCAGTTCAGGCACTCCCCTATTTCGCCAGCCTGGGCGGCCCTTGCTGTGTAAAGAGAGCAGCTGTTTGTCTCTCCTGTGGTCCTCATTGGCCTAGAGCAAGGGCGGAGGGCACTTCCGAGGGAGGGAGCCCAGAGCTGCATTGCCTGGCCTCCACTTTCCCTCACCAGCTCTGCACTCCCCACATCATGTTTGGAGAGCACTGCAGTCTCCCTTCAGAGCGAACTCTGCTCAGCCATCCCCCCAAAACTGGACTCCGCTGCAAAATGGTGCTTCAGGCCGTCAGCAAAGTGCTCAGGTAACGGGCCCAAAGGTAGTCTGCCTGGGAGGCAGTTGGCTGTGGCCCTGATTGCCTTCTCAGCGAAGCAGCCTGCTATGCTGAGCCTGCAGTGGGATGGGTGTGCCGTCCTGGGCCTAGAGCTGGGCCTAGCAGCCAAACTTACTGCTTGCTGCCCAGGAGCAGCAGTCTGCATTAGATCTTTGCTATGTGTGGCTCTCCTTGAGGCAAAACAGGAGTTCTACCTTGCTCCCTCTGGAGAGTGCTGGACAGTGAGTGAGAGTGCCTTTATCACCAACAAGTGTGTCTGGCTGGGCTTGTGTTTTTTGGCCAATGACTGTCTCTTGAGCATGGGCCTTGGCCAAGGCAAGGATTTCTTGGAGCTTGTCCTTGTGTGTCCAGAGAAGTGATGGTGTGTGCTCCAGGTGCCTACTGTATGTGAGCTGCTACTGGGTGCTGCCAGGAAGACTTTTCAGATGTTTTTAACCTGCAGTGGTGCTCTTTCCCCAATTCTGGGGTGTGTGTGGCATGCAAGTGGATGGGTGAGAAGGTATATGCGTGATTTGGTGGGGGTGGCAGTTTCAAGGCAACTTGTTGCTCGGTCATGAGGGGAGAGTCACTGCCATTTAGAGTCCAGTCAGTTTTCCTTCAGTGATGGAATCTTGTATTTGCCTCTCAACCCAATAGGTCATCTCCCTTCCCCCCTCCCTCCCTCCCTCCCTCCCTCCCTCCCTCCCTCCCTCCCTCCTTCCCTCCCTTCCTTCTTTTCCTCCTTTCTTCCCTTCCCTTCCCTTCCCTTTCCCACTCCCTCCCATCCATCCTTCCTTTCTTTGTGACAAGGTCTCAGTATGTAGCCTTGGCTATCCCGGAACTCACTGTGTAGACTGGCTGACTTTGAACTCACAGGGATCTACCTGCTGAGTGCTAGGATTAAAGATGTGTGCAGCCATGCCCAGTAGAACTGTTATTTAAAATGAAAGTAAGTAGCACTTGCTTTTCTAGTGCCTCTTTTGACTGTGAACTCCTAAAACAGAACTCTTGGTGAGGCTTTTGACATGAATCCAGTCTCTGGTAGCTCCTTGCAAGTGGCTGATGAGTTTTGGGATATATGTGTCTGTGCATCTGCCTGTCCATATTCACCTCTGACCCCACCTGTTCCCCTGGGTCACTGCCCCACATCATTAGCTGAGTACCTGAACAGGGAGTATCAACAAAGTGGTGATATCCCCTGCCCTGATTTGGAATATTATTGATGGTGACAGTATACACAGAGGACCACACACATGTCAGTATGTGTGTTTCTGCATGTGTGTGGATGACAGATACCCTCATTAGCTCCAGACAGGCTAAAGAATGGCACTTACCTGCCAGTGACTCTTGGCTGTTTACTCTGGGTAAGGTCCCATTAGAAGACATCTTAGCCTGGCCTTCCTGAAGATCACATTGAGTTTAATAGGATAAGTGGGTACTGTCTAGGCATACCTCAACCCTGATGTGTCTGTTTCTCTACTGCTTTGTTCTTCAGATGAGTGGGTCTTTTACTAGGTTAACGACACCAGTGAAAGTGTGCCTTGTCTGTGGCTACTAACCTTTCTGGATAGGGGGCACAGAATACTCTTAAGAGAGAGCTCCAGTAACCTCCATTGCTTATGACCCCAGCCCAACATGTGTAGTGAGATGGTCTGGGAGAGTCTTCTCATCTTGGTCTCTGAGGCCAAGTATTGGGCAGTGGAGTTAGTGAGGACTTAGTCCAAAATGGGCTTTCCAGTATAGAAATGAAAATTTTGGGCCCCACAAAGACCTAGGCCCAGATAGATGCTGCAGAAAAGTTGATAACCTGAGGTAAGTATCTTCCCTATACTCACAATTCAGTGGTGCGAGACTAGCTGTTGAGGGGCTGGGGAGAGCCTGGGAGTATTTGGCTGGGCTGTGAGGGCTATGCTAGCTTGGATCCTTTGTCACAGGGGCCCTACACTGGGAAAAAGTATCATTATAAACTTGAAATTAGTGCTTTGAGTAGACTGTAGCCAGACTTTTTAGCATCTAGTTGCACTCTGCCTGAATAGTAGTGTTTCTCAGATCTGGCCTGGAGGGATTGTATCTATCTTTAAGTTCCTCATTCTCCTGCTCCCTTGCCATATCCTCCTCCAGTGTTATCCCCCAGCCTCTCAGTGTTAGCATCTCCTTCCTTAATGTTGAGCACAGGCCTCTAGATGTTAACTTCTGATCCCTCATTGCTAAATCCCCACTCTCTCCAGCCCTTCAGTGTTAACCCAGCTGGGACTGGTCAGGTGGCAGGGTGGGAAGCAAACACATTCTCTCTTTCTCTAGAGACCTGAGCTGTTCATACTCAGTGTTTTGTACTTCCTTGGAGTGATGTACTTTCCCACAAGACTCTTGTATCCCCTCCCCCACTATCCTCAGACTTTAGTGTTCTTAAGCCCTTCAGCCTCTTGACTTGCTGTGTATACTTTCCCCAAGTCTGAACATCCTTCTCCTGGAGCACTTTGCTTAATGAGCATCTATGTTGGGTCAGAGGCTGGGGGAATCTGGGTGGTGTGCTAAATGGGGGCTTGTGGGGAGGGCATGTAGGCTAAGCAAGAGCACATGCCAACGTAACATCTCACCATCCTGGTCCCAGAAAGATGCTGCTAGCCTAGCTCCCAGTATAACACCCACAGCCATCCTAGCCTCATGCTTAGTACCACAGATGCCACAGAAATTGATTCTCTCTTATTTTTTTTTTCCTGCAAATTTCTGTTTCTCCTCAGAGGTCAGACTATCAACCAGGATTGATTCATACCGTGTGTGTGTGTGTGTGTGTGTGTGTGTGTGTGTGTGTGTGTGTGAGAGAGAGAGAGAGAGAGAGAGAGAGAGAGAGAGAGAGAGAGAGAGAGAGAGATATGAGGTCTTAGAGGACCAGGGGAGTTTGCAATGTGGGCAGGAGGTGGACAGAACACTGTGGGCAGTACAGGCATTGGAGCAGGGGGAAGGAGGCTAAGGCCAGATGGAAATGTGGGAGGCAAGAAGGTGATTCTGGTAGAACCTGGATAACTCTTAACGTAGGTGTTTTACTTTATGAGTAGGTCCACCTACTCACTGGGGGCCAGCCTCAGCCTCACTGTTGGGGACTTTGTTTTGGCGGTGTCTTCCCAGGAGCTCATAGTACCTGTGTGGATGTGGTGTTGCGTAGACTCACTAGTCCCTTTAAGACAGTCTCTGTGCTGCTCACACTCAAGGCCTTGGCTGCATAATCCTCCTTTTACAGAGTAACTGTGGTGAGTGGTCTAAGGGGAGCAGGAAGAGTCTGTAACCTCAAGCTTGTATGCAAGCATGGCTAGCCACTGATGCCATGGTCTCTTTAGCTTTCCTCGGATCCTGGAAGATGTTTGCTCATCCTGCCAGGTGAACACAGAAACACTGGCAAAGGAGCTAGAAGTGGTTCTCTAAATGAGTCTAGTGCCCTGGCCAAACCCCACTGATTCAGGGAAATGAGAGAAGTTGGAGTTTGGACTTTGATGTTCTGCAGAAGCCTTTTCACTAGCACCTGCCACATTCTTCCTCAAGTAGGAACCTGGGCCCTGGGCTGCCTCTTGTTCCTCTTGCCAGAGTGAGGGCTCTGTGACTATGACTGGGAGATTTAGGTTGGCAGGAGAGTGTCACTGAGTGCAATATGCTCTGGGTCCCAGGTTGACCCTTTGTGATGGGGACAGTAGCTAAATGGGAGATGTGACTGAAATAGGGAAGACTTGGGGCCTGGTGTAAACATGCTGGTGTCGAACATGCCATCTACTTGCTGCCTTTTGACTTCACCCCAAGCATCTATGGCCCATTACAGAGTGAGGCAGGCCCTTCAGGAACTCTTTTCCTCATCAGGGTTGGGGAGTAGCTTCTGCCTGAAGGAACTATCTCCTCCCTTGCAACTGTGAGTGGGTGTGAGGGCAGGATGTTGTTCATAGTACATCCTCCCTGAATGGGTCCTGAACTGTGCTCAGGAGCTGTGGTGATGGCTGCTTCCTACCATCAGCTCTTCTTAGTTGTCTTATTTTTATTTCCTTTAGCTTTTAAGTGAACATCTCAAGCCACAAAGCATGGACATTGCTTGACAGCTTGACTTTTACCAGCCCCTTTCTTGACTTCTAGGATAGGACACACAGAAGATAGAAGGTAGCTTGCTAGTCTTGAGGACACTACAGGCCTAATCCAACATTAGGAAGCAGATCTCTGTGTTCTGACCAAATAGCAGGTGAACTCAGTAGTGGGAGACAAAAGTTCAGAGAAATGCCAAGGACAGGGAGTGGATGTGTCCCAAAGACATTGGTAGAGCCCCTCCTAGGGTTTATCTACAACTCCTAGAGTTGTAGAGTCCCATACTGCTGGGCTGCAAGACTCAGAAGCCCATGTCAGAGGGACTTGAAATACCCACTTTCTGTATGGTACACCCACACCTGTGTTTCGGCCCTAACAGACTTCTGTGCTGTTTCCCTTAGCGCTTGTGCTGGTTCAGGAACCTCAAGGCTGGGCTGTGCCCTGTCCTGTCCACTGCTTGGTTCTGGCTGCTCTTGGCCCTGCCCTGGAGGCCGAGCACACATCGCCTTTTAAGGCTAAGCTCTGCCATGAGAAGCTGAAAGGAAAACATTTCCCTGGCATTCAGGGAACATTTTTCTTTCCTCTTTCTCTTAAATAAACCATCAGCAACCTTTCAAAGCAAAGAAAGGAAAAAATAGGTCACAGTCAGTTAGAAAGACCTTTCACCCCACCCCCATCTAGCCTTCCAGAGCTGTGGAAGACAGGATTCAGAGCCAAGCTAGGCTGCTTCCTAATGCTATGCATGGTAGCTGGTCTAATTGCCTGTGTTATCAGGTCAAAAAGAAAGGTATATAAGAGGTGCCCTGGCCTGAAGCCTGCATTGTACTTTATCTGGACAGGCAGGGCTAACCTGGAGTGGGCATGGTAGGAATCTGAGCCAGAGGCCACCTCCTACACACACCCCACCAGTCCTCGTGTTTGCAAGGAGGCCATGGTCTTAGACATATGCCTTTAACACACTGTTCTCCTTGTTTGATGCTCTTCTTACCCTTGTGGAACAAAGTGGGCATTTCTAAGGAGACTGCTTCTGGGACCCTCTGTTAGATCTGTTCCTTGTAATCACCTGGTCTGTTATAGGCTCTGTATAGCCCAGTGCTCCTTGCAATTGGTTGCCTTATAGAGAAGGCCTGTGTTCCTGTTCTTGGTCCTCCAGCTGTCCAGTATCTCCCACTGAATCCCACATTGAGAGTTTCTGATCAAAATTATCCTTTTCTGATCATAAGGCTTCATGCCAGTATCAATTTACGCCTGACATGTTAGAAGTCAGAATGTTCACTACTGAAGAATTTGTTTTATTACATGAGGTCAAGACTCAGCTTTACTATGGGAACACTCATAGTGCTTCTCAGGTTTCTCATCCAGTACTCTCATCCTGAGCCTGAACATGTTAGACATGTGTAGGGTGCCAGCTGGAAGTTCAGAGATTGGTAGAAACTCCTTTGTTTCTAGCATTGTATGGTCAGTGCCTAGAAGAACCTGATTTCTAGTGTGTGACCAGCCAGGAACCTACACTTAACACACTTCAAGGGGCTTACAATCCCCCTTTTTTATTTACAATTGATAAACAATCAGGGGTCAGGAAAGGGGGGCAACAGTACCATTAAACTACTCTGTGTTGAATGGGGCAAGCAAGGTATAATTAGGAGTTGTAGGCTTCTGACTCTACTGTAGCTAGGGGCTGGTAATCCTGTAATAGCAACTGATTAAAAGTCTGGTTAGAAATCTTTTGGATCTGTTGTTGAAGAAATCTAGACAATAAATGTATAAGGCAGGATGTGACTAGTAGGATTAAGAAAAGGTGGAGAAAGGGGGTTAAAAGTCTCTATTGGATTGTCAATGATCCACTAGCCAGAGGCATCAAGCTGTTTCTTATGGTTTTGGAGATCCGTCTGGAGTTGTTAGATCTTATTTTTTACTGTACCCAACTGGTTGACATAAAAGCACATTTTTCCTTAAGGAAGGGACAAAGACCACCTCTATCTGAAGTTAGTAAATCTAACCCTTGTGGATTTTGTAGTATTACAGTGGCCAGTGAGTATATTTGGCCCTGGAGAATAAGGATGGTCTGAGCCACCCATTGGAGATCCTGGATGAAGTTAGGGGAAAACTGGTGGTAAATAGCTAGGAAAGAAGTCATTCTCTCTGCTCCAGTGTTGATGCCAATGGCTATACCAAGGACTTTGAGAAAGCATAGGACCTGAATCATTCATTTGTCATGCCATGCTGCTATAAACCCTGTGATGTGAATTGGCAGGGGTTCTTCTCCGGGTACCGCCTGTAGTTTTGGAAAAAAGGACACAAGGGCACAATTCCCAGACCACCCAATGGGTAGACAGCAGGAAACTTGAGTGCTGCAGGGAATCGAGACATTTTTGGGCATAGGGCCTCAGGTCTGTGGAATCGGGTGTGCCCACAAAAGTTAAAGCAATCTGTGGATGTCAAAGAGAGAGCTGTGGGAGATGGGGTGGTAGTGATATTTGGCAATGATTGGTGAAATGAGAGTCTGATAAGCCGATGGGCAAGGCCACAAATGGTGGTTGTGAGTTTGACCCAGGAGGGATACACAGTCAACATTCTCCCAAGCAATCAGAGTGTTATTCAGTAGCTGATATATAGAGGGTAAGGTCTGAAACAAGAGATGGTATGACAGGGAGGTGGGATCTCTAAGAGGGGTATTATTAGAGATATCGGGAGCATTGGACCATTTCTGCTATGTCTATACCTAGGGGCTGAGAGTGTAGGGTGTGTACCCTCTGTACTTTGATCATGCCCTATGAACGGCTGTGATAATACTATATAGTAAAGTTTACCAGTGACTGCCATTTTCTATCTAGGGGGCCGTGGGTTCTTAATTAGGATGTAAAAGATCCTCCATTCTGAATAAAAGGTAGAATGCCTTCCTGAATATGCATTCTGTCTCCTACAGGACCAATAAAGGCAGTCTCCATAAGTATCTGACCAATGTCGACAGTAATTTCTAGTTTGATCATAGAGAAAACAAGTACAGGGGACAGGCATTTTAGAAATTGATTGAAGTGTTACAGTATCTCCTTTTGGCAACCTGCTGGTGAGCTGTCTCCAGACCCCACCTTGTGAGTGGTCTGGTTGAACCATTGGGTATAGGTTTCCTGAACCTTTGAAATCTTAATGTAATAATAGCATAAAGGGGGAAAGAAATCAGAAACATTTTTTCATTACCTTAAATCACTTCCTTATACATTCAGAACTTTTATTTACATGCACTAAAACACTTTCTCAGACCCTCAGACCTTTATATATACACTTCTTAGACCCTCAGAACTTTCACCTTGGAAGAGCAGCTTTTTGAAAGAGGTTTATGTTTCAGGCACCAGGTGCTGCCCCCTGCTGTCATGCCTGTGTTGCAACCCAGGTCCACAGTACTGTCCCCCAGAATGTCTAGAGTCATGACCATTTGGATTGGCCACTCAGTTGCCCTGACCAGTCTGGCCTTTGGTGGTCTCTCCTGCCTGCATCTGATTTAATTAACCCAGTGTGTGCAGGGTCCTTCCCCTGTGGTTTGGGCCCACATTGGGACGTGCGGTGACCATGAAATCCTTTCTTTCTTGGCAGGAAATCTAAAGCTAAGCCAAACGGCAAGAAAACTGCTTCGGAAGAGAAGAAAGTGTACCTGGAGCCAGAGCACACCAAGTCCAGGATTACCGACTTTGAGTTCAAGGAGCTGGTAGTGCTGCCCCGGGAGATCGACCTCAACGAGTGGCTGGCCAGCAACAGTGCGTGCGGGTGGGGAGGCGGGTCCAGCAGCTGCAGGGCAGGGAGTTTCTCCCCATCTCCAAGTACCAAGTACCCCCAGAGCAGTGGTCCATGGACAGGCTGAACTCAGCTGAACCCACTCCCTATCACGCCAGCTGGAGCAGGGGTGTTTACTCACCTGGCCCTTTGCTTCTCTTCCAGCAACAACATTTTTTCACCACATCAACCTGCAGTATAGCACAATCTCAGAATTTTGCACAGGAGAGACGTGTCAGACAATGGCTGTGTGCAACACGTGAGTAGCAGCCTGGCCATAGCACTTGTTGGGAGTGTGGGATGGGTTGTGATTGACTTTGCTGTCCTGACTACTAGCTTCTCGGACTCCATCCTTAAGTGGAGTCCGTGCACAATCTCAGGCTAGGCAGAGTTTTTCTGTATGTGAGGGGCCAGGTGTCCAGCGTGTCCCTGCTGAGGCATAAAAGATGCTAAAGAGCCATCAGGTGCCAAGGGCAGGTCATTTTTAGATGGCCCCTGAACCTGCAGAGTGCTCATTGTCTCATTCTATTAGTAGAGGTGTCTTATTGACAATTCCTGAACAGATCTAGTGCTGACAGCTCTCTTCCAGGTATATGTGTATATCCAGTGCTGTAGTATGCAGGTGCCTTCAGGATCTCCAAGATAACTCACCTTGCTTTTTGCATAGGAAAGCCATTGGATGGCACATGTTTGCCTGCAGCCCTGGGTTGATGGTACGAGTGACTATGCTAATGCAGACAGAAGGCTGAGTCTGGTAGCCGAGCTTACCTTTTGCTCACTTTGTGGAATCACTTAATAATTCCTACTATAAACCCTTTGCAGGAATCATGTGAGACCAAGGGATTATGGAAACTCAAAATTAGTTTGAAAGGAAAAGTGGGTTAGTCATAAATCCACAGAACTTCTTGCTGTGCATCAGCCCTGGAGGTTTACCTAGGTTTGAGAGGATCTTCTGCACTAGGCCAGCTCTCATTTTATCCTTGCAGCACCTGCAGGATAACCCCAAAAGGCCAGCATTGGGATCTAGGGAGATAAGACACATTCAGAAACATGGCTAAACAGCTCCCTCAGAGACTCCTTTACATTGACAGAGCTCAGTGAATCCTTAAGGACTGTCCTGTGAAATAGCCTAGACACCAAGCACAGTAAAGGCCCTGTAGCATCCAAGGCAGTACTGTGGGACTTGGGGAAGCACCCCCATGTCTCACGTGTCACAGGGAAGAAGCATTACTCCACATTCCACATCCAGCAGCCATGCCCTTTAGGAGCACAATTGAATGGATCGCTGCAAGCTGTCTGACCTACTGCCAGAGAGTTCCAGCCAGTTCTTCAGCTCTGTGACAGCACAGAATGATACAGCAACAGGAGAACTACAGACTCTTCTCTGGAGCTCTCAGAAGTTATTGGAGAGTGAAATCAAGTGTGGTCTGACACATTCTCGGAATTCAGAGAAAGGACATGTGAGCAATGGCCATGAGAGGCGAGAGGTGCCCACTTCCTGTTAGTGACCAACTTTTCCCAGCTGACACCAAACTCAGAGTAAAATGTTGAGCATGAAAAGTCATGTATGTACTTTGAAATTCTTTAAGCAACTTCAGCATTGACATGAAAGCATCCAGTCAGAACTATAATGGAACCAAATTGAAATGGAATCGTTAAAAAGGTGGGGGTGGGGAATATAGCCCCAAATACAGCATGAACACAGAAGTATGAAGAGCAAAACAGAACAAGCAGAAAACCAACATGGTAATGTAAATCCAGCAGCTGAGTGACCACCACAATGTGAGCATAAGAGTTTCCAAGAGATTTTTTTGAAAATATTCTTGTAGAATTAAATCTGAGCTTCCCCATGAGAAACACACTCACTGTCATCAGTCTGGACTGCTGTAACCAAATGAGGGTCCTGGAGGCTACTGAACAGCACATATTTCTCATGGTTCTGAGAAGAGCTTCTCAGTTCATGAATAGCACACTGCCTATTATCATGACCTTAGGAGTTAAGGATCATTATAATGATTTGAGGGACTTATATGCCATTCATTTTGGTTGACTGGTTGATTGACTGGTTAATTTATGCTGAAACTCAGCATTATGCATGCTAGCAAATGAGCCACATCTCCAGCCCTGTTTAAAGTTTTATAAGAGATAGAATTCTGCCATTCTGACCAGGCTGACCTGGAGCTGGCATCCTCCTGCCTTTATCTGCCAAGCTGAGATCACAGGTGCACTCTACCCACCTGCTCCTGGCTCATAGCAGCACTTTAAATGCAGTAATGTAGTAAAGTTAACCATTGCAGATGGGAGATGGAACCTAGAAAACACTAACAAATGGAAGCTAAAGTAGCTCTATTCATAGCAGTAGAGACTCAAAATCAGCCAGGTTACAGAAGGAACCTGTGTTGTGAGTTGGAAAGGGCTGTTCATCAGGCCAGTAGTGTTCCTCATTGCCTGTGTGCCAGATGGCAGAGCTTCACAAAGCATACCACCAGCTGCAGGGGGAAGGGCAGGGGCAGAGGGACCAAGGTGCCATGTAAGGACATTCCAGTGGATTTTGATTGTGTTTTTATAAATAAAGACTGCCTGAAGATCTGAGAGTAAAACAGTCCCATTGGTTAGCCTTCCAGACCAGATTATGATAACACACACTTTTAATCTCAGTAGCCATAATGGCACACGCCTTTAATCCCAATAGCCATACTAGTTGCCATAGAAACTGGGCGGTAAATCCCTTTAATCCCAGCTCTAGAGAGGATTATAAAATGGGAGGAAACAGTTCTCAGTCACATAGTCTCCTACTGAGATTCCAGGAGGTAGGCTCACCATTTCAGACTGAGGTCGAGGTAAGAGCCAGTGGCTGGCTGTTTTGCTTTTTGGATCTTCAGGTAGTCTTTATTTATTAAAATCCACTATACCAGCCTAGCAGCAAAATGCACCTTCTTTTCAACTTCACAAGGAGTGTTCACCAAACATAATGCCTTGGCTCTCAGAAGAGCTCTTGGCAACTTTTAAAGAGTTGAAGTCACACTAAGTAAGTTATCTTCTGATCATTGTGGAGTTAATCTGGAAATCAGTGTCAGAGAAGTAACATAGTTCCAAACACTCCTGAATTATCCACAGGTCAGGGAAAGAAAACAATCTCAAGGGCAATGAGAAGTTCGTTTGAACTAAACACAAGTAAAATGCAAAGTATCAGAATCTGTGAGATCTAGTCAAGTGTGATAGCTTGCATCTGTAATTCCAGTACTTGGGAAGTTGAGGCAGGAGAATTGTTTTGAGTTTGAGGCAAGTCCTGACTACAAAATGAACCTGTCTAAGAAAATGCAAAAATAAAGAAAAGAAAGAACAATTTGTAGCAGGGCAGTGAGAACAGTTTATAACACCAAGTGTGCATTTCAGACAAAAACTTCAGAGCAAAACCAAAACCAACCCAGGGTAGACAGAAGAAAGGAAATCATAAAACAAGAGTGGAAGTCACTCAAATTGAATTCTAGAAACAATAAGGGGAATGCACGCTTGCTTGGAAAGAGCAATAAAACTGATACTAGATGAGACAGAAGATCGGAATTATAAACATAAGAAATCGGAACAGTTCACTGTGAATCCAACAGTTGTTACAGAGGTAATTAGGACTGCCAAATCCTCTCCAGCTATTATACAGCTGGCATGAAGTCCACTGTTCTTTGGAGAAGAAAACTTGAGAGCTCATCCAGTTCAGTGAGATAAGGGAGAGGGAGGAAAAGTCCACATCCGAAAAGAAGAAATCAGCTGTCCTCCTTGCAGAGAACACAGCTGTGAGACTCTGAAGGAGTCCAGCAACGAAATAAATTCTGCAAAGTCAGCACACAGAAACAGTCAAAGGTCTGCATGCTAGCTGTGTATGATTGAAAGCCTAACTAATCAGAACCATTTACAATAGCCCTAGAAGTAACAAAATGCTTAGGCATAAACTTAGCATTCATAGGGCTCTGTTTCTAGAAACCACAGAAGTCCAGGACAGTGAGTCAAAGACAACCACACTGTGTTCATGGATGGGAAGACAACAAACTGAACATACAGATCTATATCCAATAAATCTGTGGGTTAGTGTGTTCCCAATTGAAAACTCCTCAGAGATATAAGCTGCTAGACTGGTATGTTCTGGAATTTACATGGCCACGGGTAGCTGGAGTAGCCACAACAACAGTGCAGCTGGAGGAGGCACAGTTTGAAGATACAGTGTCAACCACAGTGATACAACAGTGTATTGTGGATCAGAGGTGAGACAAACAGTAGTGGGTCAGAGCAGCAACCAGAAGGAAAATCAAAAGCACAATTGTTGATTTCTCATGAAGGTGGCCAATGAAACTGAATTGAGAGAGCACAGTTTTGTTTCCCAACAGTGGCTCTGAAATGCAACTTTGCACAGAGGAAAGGAAAAGTACCTCAACTTTAAGCCTCACGCATGATGCAGAAATGGCAAAATACAAAGCTTTTAGAGGGCAGGAGAACATCTCTGTGATCTAGCATTAGGCCACTGGACATTACGTCAAAGGAGCAGCCCACTGATGAAAAGGACTCAGCCCATTGGATTTTATGATGATTCAGAAATTTTGCTCTAAGAAACTGAGGAGAAAGAACAAACACAAACTATGCAGAAACATCTGGGAAGCACCTGTTGCACAAGAATTAGGATCCGGGACATGCAGAGAATTCTTCGTGCAGCAGCATGCAGGTAGCAGTTTGATTGACAAGAATGGGGAAGGACTAGTTGCTCCAGCGACAGTATGTCAGTAAGCCACTAAGAAGATACTCAGCACTGGGGTGTTAAAGAAACATAATGAAACCCACATTGGGTATTGCAGAACACTAGGTGCTGGTAAGGTACAGGTGACATAACGTGATAACGTTGACACACTCTCATGAAATGATGTACAAACATGCTGTAACAATAACCCTGTCCTTGGCTTTTGCTTTAGAGACATGAAAACTTGTATTTATATATTCTCCCCATGAGAACATTTGTAACAATGTGGTCAATAATTGTCCCCAATTGGAATGAATCACAGGCCCTCAGCAGGAGCTTGGAGGAGCATGTTGTGCCCTTGAATCCAGGGCACCTAGGTGGTGTGACATCCCCACAGCATGGCCAGATAGCAGAGATTTGTGAGAGACCTTCATCCATGATCTCCCAAGGAGATGCCTGAGGGGGCAGCAGGCAGTGCATCAAGGGTAGCACCAGCTTCTCTTGGCAGAACACAGAATAACTGTGACTTTGCACATGATTGAGGCCCAGGAACTCTATACACCCAGTATCTCCCATCCCTGATGCTGATCTTCTCAGAACTGGCAGTCATATGAGGACTGGCAACACCATGCTAAAGAGTATTGGGGTGGGCCTCCTGGGGTCAGGTCACTTTACTGCAAGCATCTACTATTTCCCCTGGGGAAAGTGTGACTTCTTATTCTAGGAATAGGGCATCACCAAGGATCTAGGCTCTCTGATCAGTCTCAGGCCACCTCCTAGACAAATACCTGTGCCCAATTAATTTTAAGGGGTTTATTTATAATACCCTTATTTAAAATACAGACTTATTTAAAAGAAGTAAAATCTGCAGAACTAAGCAAAATGAAGGTGTCACATGGGGCTCCCTGCACTCTTGGTTCTGTACATGAGGCCTTTGCTTTGCTCAGATGCTGTTCTGTTGGAACAGTTGTATATAGCTTGCCCACCCGACTGCCACTGCCTTTGTATTTGTGCTGTATGAGTGGGAGCCTGCACTGGGGTGGGTATTTGGCAGGGTTGTCACCCTGACCAAAGTCTCTGTCCCTACAGACAATACTACTGGTATGACGAGCGGGGGAAGAAGGTCAAGTGCACCGCCCCCCAGTATGTTGACTTTGTCATGAGCTCTGTGCAGAAGTTGGTAACTGATGAAGATGTGTTCCCCACAAAATACGGTATGTCTCTTGCAGTTTGTACCCAAATCCTTATGCAAAGCCAGCAGGTTCTTCAGCACTGAGCTAGAGAGTGTCTGGAGTACGATTGCAAGTGGGGTGTAGAAGGGCTACAGCTTTGTAACTCTGATTCCTGCTCAGCAAAGGGGGCTGGGCTAATGAGGGAGGGAGGTTCCCATGCAGGGTTCAGCTCAGTTAGAGCCAAATACCCACCTACACTCTGGGGACCCAATTCTTGGCCCCCCTTTGGTCCCTGCTACCATCTCTGCACAATGAGGCCATCACAGTCCATCTTGCTGGAGTTGGTATTTCCAGACCTGTCAAGGTCCTAATGAGAGCTCAAACTCATCCTGAGCAGCATCCTCATGTACTTGTTACTGCTCCTCTAGCTGGTCTACAGATAACCCTGGGGTGTCTACTGAAGGAAACATATGAAACCTGAGGGCCCACCACATATTCTTTGCTGTGCAGGTGGCCAGCATGGCTTAGCCAGTGCCTGTTACTCTGGGCACATGCCACTCTGGGGAACAGGTTGCTGGGAACGCTGTGGAAGAATAGTAGCAGGTGTGAGCACTTCAGGCCCATCCAGGAGAGCCTAGTTGTAGGAGCCTGGCCTCATTGCGGGTCTATGACATGTGGCTTCCCCCTAGGCAGAGAATTCCCCAGCTCCTTTGAGTCCTTGGTGAAGAAGATCTGCAAGTATCTGTTTCATGTATTGGGCCACATCTACTGGGCCCATTTCAAGGAGACCTTGGCCCTTGAGCTGCACGGACATTTGAACACACTGTACGTGCACTTCATCCTTTTCGCCAGAGAGTTCAACCTGCTTGACCCCAAAGAAACCGCAGTCATGGACGACCTCACTGAGGTGCTGTGCAGCAGCCCAGGTAGCAGTGGTGCCACTGGGGATGGGGCCAGCAGTGGAGCTTCCGGAGCACAGAACCACGTGAAGGAGAGATGAGCCTCCAGGGCCAGATGGATGCACATGTGCAAAGAGACAACTGTGTGTCTGTGTGTGCGCACACATTCCCCGGGCGTGCTGGTGGCAAGGTCTGAGGGCCCCAGGCTGCGCAGAGTGTGGGCTCCATGGATGCCGCTGGAGTCAAGGCGTGTTTCCTGACTTTCCTGTTGGATGGATGAGTGCTGTTTGTAGTGAAGAGCATTTGGAGTCATTCATTCATTCAACAAACATTTATTGGACTGATGTTTTTCTTCTGTGGGGCTTTCCTTTCTTGGGTCTTCCATGTGGCTCTTGCCCTCCCCTCCCCTCTCTCAGGGGGGCTCTGCGGCTTTGAAAGTAGCACCTTGTGAGGTGTCTCCCCCTTGCGGGGCTTGCTCTGCAGACCTGGAGTTCTGCTGTGCTTTGGGGATGGGCTTTTTACAGAGGCCCACCCTACAGCTTCCCTCCCTAGCCCTTGCCTGGATCTTGGCTCGGAGCCCTTAGGGTAGAGAGGCCTGGGGTGACCCTTGAGGGCCCACACCTGCTGCTTGCTCCTGTCACCCCTTCTTGCTGCCTCCTCAGTGCCCATGGAGGTCCCATTTGTGCATAGGGGCCAGGGTAGCACCAGGACCTGGCTGAGTCCCTGTGTGGAGACAGGGCTGTCAGTGAAAGGCAGAATCTGCTTTAGTTCATCTGTTCGGTCATAATAAAAGAATTCTCTCAGGTCAGAGCCTGTGTCCTCTCAGTCTGCTCTTTCATATTGCTTTTCTGAGTCTTCCCTGAGGCTCCTGGGAAGGGAGGGAAGGTTCAGGCACCTTGGCCTTATCCTCACTCATTGTACCTTCTTGAGTGAGGATGGAGGCCTTCAGACCTGTTTAGATATGGCTCAGGCTCAACATTAGGGGTCCAGAAGGAGGCAGCCTGCTGCCTAGGTGGGGACTGGGCCTAAGCTCAGGCCCGGAGCTGGCCCTGGGCCCAAGTGGGCTAAAAGGGGCGGGGCAGGAGACAGGCATGGTTATGGCTTGTTCCTCACAGACAACAAACTCGAGTCTTTGGATTCTAGCAGCCTGTTTGCTGTGCTTGCCAACAACTCCTGGGATGCTCTGCCCCTACAGGTTTCCTTTAAATTGTGGGCCTTCCTGAGTTTTAGGGTTCACCAGATCTTCTGGCTCTTCACTTACTGAACCATCAGCAGCCCCCTGGGAGGCTGAACTTGAGGCTGGAAGCTCTTCTGTTAACTATGGGGATTTAGCTCCTGTAAACACCTTGACCAACCTCATCTGTCTTCTGACATTCTCAATAGCTATCTGCCACTGTCTAATGACCCAGAAAATTCCAGGGTACATGGAGTGTTCAGTCTACTCCCTCTCTATAGGCACCTTCTGAGCTTGAGGCAGGAAGATGGCATGTTTGAGTCCAGCCTAGGCCTATACAGGGAGTGCCTGTTTTAAAACAAAAACCCTCCCTGAACCAACTTAAAGCCTTCAAGCCATTAGTCTTAGTTCTTGGGAACAGAACCCATCAGACTATCTGAGCCTCTGCCCCTGGGTATTGCCCACCACATCTCCTGTCTTAGCAGAGACCCCTTGAGTGGAAACCGCAGGGTGCCCATGAAACTGTTATGTCTAGGACTACTATAAGGAGCCTGTGCTGGGGCCTCAGCTTGCTGGAAGTACCAGGGGGAATCCTGGGTGCAGGAGCAAAGTGGAGCTTGACTCATTGAGACTTCCCTCTCCTCAGCTCCCAGGGAACAAAGCTACCATAGCCCTGGCCACCCAGTGTGGGGGAGGGTGCCCAGTGCAGATAGAGCCCATGGCTGGCTGCTAGGAAGATGGGCTTCTAGCTGGAGGGAGCTGCTGTGTGGAGTCTGAGACAGAGTCTAAGTAGCATGGTATACCTCCATATCTCCAGGTGGTGGGGTTTGATCTGACAGGAAAGAGTGGCAGGACCTCCAAGCACATGGTGTTGCCACACAGCCTTCGGAAGGCTATCCTTGAAGGCACGGACATCTAAATGAGGGCTGCCACCTGCTGAGCTTTGTGCTGGGGCCCAGCTTCAATGCTCTGAGGCACACAGGGCAGTTGTGTGTGCTATCCACCATATGTAGATGGCTTCTTGCTGCCTTCTTGTCCCTGTCGTGGGTTCTCACCTGTACAGGGGGAGTTGATCCATGAGGCAGTCCTTGGATTTAGCCTTTGGTGAAGTTGAGCACAGACAGAGGCTCACTGCTGATAGAAAGGCATGTGTGGGGCTGGGCGGTGGTAGCACACGCTTTTAATTCCAGCACTCGGGGAGGCAGAGGCTGGCGGATGTCTGTGAGTTCGAGGCCAGCCTGATCTATAAGAGCTAGTTCCAGGATAGGCTCCAAAGCTACAGAGAAACCCTGTCTCAAAAAAAAAGAAAAAGGAAAGAAAGGAAGGCATGTGTGGAATGCCTAGAGGTCCCTAAATGGTAGCAGAAGTATGGTTGTGTGTGAGGGTTGGGAAGTGAAGGAAAGGGTCCAGCCAAGAAAACCCACTCCACCCCTGAGAATGCTGAGTTGCTGTGCCTGGTTGGTGAATGGAAATACAATGTGAGCAGCACTGCAGGTGAGGGCTCAGGAGAAAGACATGCCACTGGGACTGAAAGATAAGTGTAGTAGGAGAGCGACTGCACAGCTGGGCTGGAAACGCAACTGGAGCATCTGGCAGAAGTTTCCAAACAGCATGAAAGGCAAAGCCTGGTCTTGCTGGTGTGTAGTCTGAGGGAAAGACAGAAGAGCTATCGCCCAGCAGGGAGCTAACATGTAACTACTGGGAAGCACAAAGGCTATGTGAATGACAGATGACACTCAAGTTTCACTGTAAAGACAATGTGCTCAGAGATAGAAGCCAGAGTGAAGCTGGGCAGTCCTTTGGACCTCACAGCTACTAACACCTTTGGTCAGCATCCTGGCCAAAAGCTGAAAGTAGAGCAAAGATTATTTGTGAAGGACTTGCTGGCCTGTAGGACTTCAAGGCCTCACCATCTCCCCTAGGAACTGTGTCATTCTGCCTTCAGGATGGAGACTCACCAAGGTAGAGAGAGGTTGGGTTTTGAGCATTTCTTCCTGAGGGTGCCAGGTTGTGCTTCACCCCTGGGGTCTGAAGCACCCATCAGAGTATCTCTCTGTTCTGCCTATACACTTACTGCTGGGCCAAGTTATGTCCTGAGATGGGGGCTGGCCTCTAGAGGTCTTCTATTTGCTTTTTGGTCGTCCTCTCCTCATTTTAATTTCTTCAGAAGAGTGTGCAGACCAGTGAGTTTAATACTCAGTGTGAACTGCATGAGGCTTCCTTTATTTTTTTATGAATAGTGGGCTGAGCTGGTTTTTTGCCTTATATACAGTTAGGAGAAGGATTGTGGAAGGTTCCTTCATGGGCCCTGAGGGTGCAATAGTGTGCAGATGGGAAGCTGCTGGCCTACATAGTGCCCACCAAAGCTCACTGTAGCCTACATATCCAATGGGCCAGCTGGAGGAAGATTGGCTGGGGGGGGGGGTTGTTGTTCTTCCTGCAGGGGCAGGAAGAGAAGACACGGGAAGACATCTTAGCACCCAGACCCAGGTAATCAGGCACCTCTGGATCAAATCCTTACCTAAACAAACATTTCAAGCCAAAGTTAACTGAAAAGCTCAGATAAGAGCTTGGTCCCTTGTCCTTGCCAAGTACCTTCAAAGTACCACACTCCTTAGAAAGCACAGAGACCTCCAGAATTAAGCAGAGAGTGACCCTAGCTTTACTGTGTTGCTTTCTTATGCTGGGTTTTGAGCTTGATTCTGCAGAGTTACCTGCCTCCATTAGATCACAATAAAGCTAGGCAAAATGGCTTAGATGTCTCTGGTAAGATTGTGTGTTAACTAGGTCTTGTGCCAGGGCAGGACCTCATTTGGGTCTACTCCACCCCCAGGAAATACACAGTAGTGTCAGCCCCAAAAAAGTAAAAGTAAAAGCAGAGGCCAGGGATGCTGTGAACTCCTACAGTTCCAGGCCCATTAGCCCTCCCCCCCAACTGTCAGTGTGTTACATAGTAGAGCTCTGCCACCAGGCAGTGTGGCACAGGTGTGCCAAATGCACTTTTCATGGTCTAGGCACTTTGCTCAGACTCTTGAGGATTGTCCAGCCTCGGGTTCTTGGCATTCAAGACATGAAACTAGACCTGTCCTCCGTATACTAGCAGCCGAGAGGTGGTGATGAGGCTGAGGCATCCCTTGCTGGCTACGGGAACATGGGAGAGACTCTTAGTGGAGTAAGTCCAAGTGCTAGATGACCTCAGGCATATCTGGGGTGACGCTGAAATTGCCATGAGGAAGAAGACAGCTCTCCTGTCACCTCTGCTATCTTCCTAGCAGATAGCCTTGCCAGCCTGTCTCTAGACTGCTCTTTCCTTAACTCTGGTTTTCACTGGAACCCATCTCTGGTGGAAGAGCCCAGGGAAACACCCCAGCCTGTTTAACAGACCCCCTTCCAGAGGTGGACCTCTTCCCTGAGCACAGCCCAGACAGGTACAAGTTGGGGACAAGAGCCACTTTCAAACATCCTGTGCCCTTTCCCATGCCCGCCCAGCCCTGATGGAGACCTTGCATCACGTGTCTTTACGGAAGGAATTTATTGTTCCAGAACTGAAATTGCTCACAGTTATTTGACAGGGGTTACACCAGATGGGGCTTGTCCATTTCTGTGATGTCTGCGAGTCCGCATGTGTCCAAAGTACAAAAGAGGAAGGCTAACAAGAGGTATTGCTTTCAGTATCCTGACTCCGTGGATAAGCCCCTTCCCACTTGTACTGCGTGGCTTTGCTGTTGTTACAGGTGTTTGATTTTGCCCTATGTATGGGAATCCCAGCCTATGGTGGTTGAATGTAATAGAAGCATTAAAATCTGTACATGAGGGGAAGAGCAAAGGCATGCATGAAACCTGCCCCCCGGCCCCTCCTGCTGCTACGCTGGGCACCTTGGGCCAGCTGGGAGGGACTGGCTCAGCCAGACAGAACGGAACACAGACAAAAGCTGAGGATGAGGAAAGTGAGGTGGGCTTCAGTGGGCAGCAGGCAGTGGTGTGGGCCCCTTGCCCTTGCCACCTCCAGGAGGAACCCACTGCAGAGCACACTGCTAACTCCATTTCTGGCTTTGATTTTTTTTTAACTTTTTAATTTTAATTTTAAAAAAGCCCGAGGTACCCCTGCCATTCTGTATGTGAGTAGGGTGCCAGCTCAGGGTCTTCTACCCCTTCTCGCTCAGACACCAAACCAAGATCACTCTCAGCCTGGTGCAGCAGAGAAGTACTGGTCAGTGCCTCTGGGAAGCAGGCACAGCTGGCCAGTTCAAGCTGATATCCTGTATCCTGAGCCCTCGTGTGGAACTGGAGTTGCTGCTAAGTAGTAATAAAACAACCCGGGACAGAGCTAACCACATCGTTCTTTAAATATATATATATTATATATATGTATATGTGTATAGAAATAGCCAAGAGCAAGGAGCCGAAACACAAACTCTAGCTCTGCCCCAGCGGCCCCACCCCACACCCTTTTTCCAAAAACAACCAAGAAAAGAAAGTTTATAAAAATATCTTGCAGGAATTCTTTTAAAGTTTACAGTAGCTTGCCAGTGCTGCATCCACTGGCCGGCTCCCCACCGTTTCCAGCCCCAACGGCTCTGTCCTTAGAGGGAACCTGGGCTCTGGACCCACCCTGCCCAAGTCAGACAGACGGA